GAAGATAAGATGAAATATTTCTGTACTTAGCCATAGGCCTTGCTCTGAGTTTTAAATGTATATTTTCTGCATTATTTAGGGCTTGACTAAAACCGAAAACCAAATTCACTGCCATGGAGTCGGATCTGACTCATAGCAACCCCTCCTTGGGTTTCCGAGGGAGTATCTCTACAGAAGTAGATTGCCCTGTCTTCCTTCTGAGGAGTGACTGGTGGGTTTGAACTGTCAGCCTTCTGGTTAGTCAAGTGCCTTAGGCACTATGCCACCAGGGCTTGACTGGACCCCTAATATTATGTAATATCCCAAAGTCATGGTTCTAGATAGCTCCTATTTGGAATATGACACATCTAGAATAGTCCTTGGAAGGAAGATTGGGCAATCTACTTCCGTAGAGATACTGCCTCGGAAACCCAAGGAGGGGTCTCTATGAGTTGGATCCAACTCAATGGCAGTGATTTTTTTTTTTTTTTTGAGAATACTATGAGTTCCAGGTAATTGACCTTGAACTCCTGGAAGCCCTTGGCTCAAGGCTTCAAACTGGTGCTTTCTGGTTCAGTCATGACTGGCAAAGCAAAACTAGTATAGACCCGGATTTGTAAAAAATGTGAACCCGAACAAGAACTAAAGCCAAAAGAAACCAAACTCACTGCTATTGAGTCAGATCTGACTCATAACGACCCCTCTTTGAGTATCCATAGTGGTATCACTATGGAAGTAGATTGCCCAACCTTCCCTCTGAGGAGTGGCTGGTGGGTTTGAACCACCAGCCTTCTGATTAGCAGTCAAATGCCTTATGCATTATGCCACCAGAACAATAACTAGAAGGGGAAAAATTACAGGTTGATGCCTGGCTAGAAATTTAATCTCCCTCTTAGAAAATAAGAACAGCATTGCATAGCAACCAAATCTCTTGATTAACTGAGTCAGAAACAATGGTGCCCAACTCAAAGATGGTGGATGATCATGCTACTTTGAATGTGTATCATTCTCCACAGACCTGGCAATGATCCAGTCTCCTGCATCAGGCTCCTGAGGTACTCATTACACCTCCTCCAAGTCTCCCATTCCAGGGCTTCTTCAACTCAGATTTTTTCCCCTTCTGGCTATTGTTCTGCTTCACTCAGATTTTTAAAATTCAAATCTGTTCTGATTTCACTTCATTGGCCATGGCTGAACAAGTTTGCTCTGGTTCATAGCCCTGCTTTGATTGATATTAAAATCATGTTCCAAAATATTTGACCGTAACAGCCAACTATCATAAACAAGTCTTTCAAATGATAGAATTCTACAGATAATATTTGGATGTATTTCTATGTGTTCTTTTCAGTCTGTTACTCATTTTAAAAGCTTGAGTATTTCTCACTCAGGTATTCTAACAGTAAAATCACACACAGGACAGTATTGTAGGAGGAAGCTAAATCCATTCCTATCTCTTGTGACACATTAATAGTTCAAAACTAAGGATATTAAGAATATTTAGTTTCCATTAAAGCATTTTATATGAAAGCTGGTGTTGCTGCTAAACTGTAGAATCATCTTCCTACAAGAAATGCCGCTATATCTGAGCTGGAAATGTTCATTAAACTAGAAAGAGATTCTTTCCGAGGGACCTAAGGAGGGTTTGTGAATGCTGTCCAGTGGTAGGGATGGACTGTATGGGCTCTGAGCTTTAATTGGGCAGAACCTAAGTCACACAGGGCTTTGCTAAAAAGTATCTTAAAAAGAAATGTACATAAAGGCATAAAGAGGAAGGGAAGAATGTCTGAAAGAACAAGGAAGAATGTTTCGAAAGAGAAAAATACAGCATATGTATGTGTATCCAAATGTTCCTATACCTCAAGGTGGGAGAGGTCTAAGAAGTATGTACTCAAACTTTATGACCAATACATAAACCATCTTTACAACATTGCTAAGTACTCATATATCATGTTGTTGCTAGATGCTGCCAACTTGATTTTGACTTAAAATACCCTGTGTAACAGGATAGAACTGTCCTATGAGATTTTCTAGGCTGTAATCTTTATGGGAGCAGATAACCAGAACTTCTCCCAGGAAACCCCTAGGTAAATTCAAACTGCCAGCATTTTGGTCAGCAGCTGAGTGCTTAACTGTTGCACCACCAGGACTCCTTCTAATATAGTATATCTCTACATCAGGATCTTTACTGTCTCACATGGAAATAACTTCATATTCAGACAACTCTCATTGAGAGAAAGTTTTGCCTGACGTTGAATGAAGATTTTCCTCATTATTTCCTCATCGGTCCTCATTGTTGTCCTCACTAGAGTCACATACAATCCATTTAACCTGTCAACTATAGAATAATAAGTATTGTATTTGAAGGCTGTTATGTGGCTAAGGCACTTGACTGCTAACCAGAAGTCTGGTGGTTCAAACCCACCAGCCACTCCTCGGAAGGAAGATGGGGCAATCTATTTCTGTAGTGATACTGCCTCGGAAACCCAAGGAGGGTTGCTACAAGTCAGGTCCAACTCGACGGCACATAACAACAACAACAACAATGATAATCATGATGATGATGGTGAAGATGGCCTTCAGCATCATCATGAATGGTAATAACACATACCATTTCCTGAGCAATTCATATAAATACTTTGCTAAGCACTTTACACTTTTATCGCATTAATCCTCTCAATTGCTTGACGAAGTAGATACTTTGCAGAAATTCATTTTACAGATTAGGAAATTGAGGATTACAGAGATGAAGTAGCTCACCCAGGAGAGCCAGCAGAGCTAGCAGGAAGCAGAGCAGTCAGGCAGTCCAACTTCTGATAAAGCCTCCCTCTTTAAAACCAAACTCACTGCCATCAAGTTTATTTCGACTTGTAGTGTCCCTCATTGGTTTTCCAAGGCTATAAATCTTTAAAGAGGCTGATTGCTTCATCTTTCTTCCACAGAGTGGCTGATGGGTTCGAACCACCAACCTTTTGGTTAGCAGTCAAATGCTTTAACCACTATACCACCAGAGTTCCTTAGAGCCTCCCTAAAAAACAAACCAAACTCACTGCCGTCGAGTTGATTCCAACTCATAGAGAACCCTCCTTGCGTTTCCCAGGCAGTATCTCTACGGAAGTAGATTGCCCAATCTTCCTTCTGAGGAGTGGCTGTTGGTGAACTGCCAGCCTTCTGCTTGGCAGTCAAATGCCTTAGGCACTATACCTCAGTTTAGTGAGCCAGACCATGGTTCAGAGGATGATGTCTGTAGGTGTGTGAGTGTTTTCTCAGTGGAGGAGTATGGAATCTAGATTCCACCACTTTCTGCATCCCAAGAAATTTCCCTATATATTCTCACACACAAAGTCATCCTTTTAGTATATTATTTTTTTCACTGTGTCTTTCTTTCAGTGGTTAAAATTTCTTCTCAGCGTTCACAGACCAGCAGAAGTCATGTGCATAGAAAACTACAGCTCTGCAGTTCCCTTTGACAGGTCCACTGAATTTTCAAATCAATCCTTCACAAATGGAGATAACTGAGTTAGGAGAGATCACTTACTGTAGAGTTAGTGGAACAGTGTTCAACATCTAGTAGCTGCTCCATAAATATGTGTTCAGTGAGTTAATGAATGAATGTCCACCCTAAAAAGGCAATTTGATTTTTAGAGCAGAGAACAATAGAAATTTTTGTGGTTATTTAAATTTATTGTTGTTAGGTGCCATTGAGTCAGCTCCACCTCATAGTAACCCCCTGTCCAAAAGAACGAAACACCATCCTCACAATCTTTGATAAACTTGAGCCCATTGTTGCAGCCACTGTGTCAATCCATTTCATTGGGGATCTTCACCTTTTTCACTGACCCTCCACTTTACTATGCATGATATCCTTCTCCAGGGAATGGTCCCTTCTGACCACAAGGCAAAAGTAGGTGACACGAAGTCTGGCCATTCTCACTTCCAAAGAGCATTCGGCTGCACTTCTTCCAGGAGAGATTTATTAGTTCTTCTGGCAGTCCATGATACTTTCAGTATTCTTTGCCAACACCACAACTAAATTTATGTTTGTAGTTGCAAATGTTAAATTTGTATTCTCTGTTGATTGAGCTCACTCTTGCAAACTTCTTAGGCAGAGTTTCATTGAGAATACCATTTTGGATATTCTACCTTTTTGTTTTTATGGTACATGAAGTACTTAACTATTCTTATTGCCACTGAAATGTCAAATTTGAGGGCCTCTGACCTAAACCTTTGGGAAATCTAGCCTCCTATTTAGGAGCGCTGGGGCCTGTGCATCTGTATTTTCTAAGCTCTCTGCCATGAGAACTTTAAGTAACCTATTTTTCTGGACAGGTATTTTAGTAGCATCCTTATTCTTGTCCTTGTATATTGACATAATATATTTCTATAAGCCATGGAAAGGAAACAAAACAAAGCAGAAATTTAGATTTGAGAATTTAATGGATTAATGAAGAGGAAAAGACGTTTTTTAGAATAGAAGTGAGGGAATATATATCTAAATATTTAGAAACTCTGCCTCCTATAACTAAAATACTTGACTTTTTTAAAAGAATGTTCTTTGGTTAATTTTGTGTAGTGAATGAGTGATATGCAGGTTATAACCGTATTTCTCAAAAACAGCTTATATTCTAACAACTCTAATTGATAGAAAGTTGTTTGGTTTATTTATTTTTTGTCATACTTTGTATGTTCTTCTTGTTATGTGCCTTCAAGTTGGACCCGACTCATAGCAACCCCTCCTTGGGTTTCCAAGGCAGCATCACTATGGAAGTAGATTGCCCCACCTTCCTTCTGAGGAGTGGCTGGTGGGTTTAAACCCCCAGCCTTCTGGTTAGCAGTCAAGTGCCTTAAGCACTATGCTACCAGAGCTCCTTATGCTTTGTATAATTAGGCTAAATGTCCCAAAGTTTCAAAGACTCAGCACCTCAGAGACATTCATCTGTCACCAATTCAAGAATGAGTTGCTAAGTTATTCCTCAGTTTGTTTGTTGCACTGCTAATGGTATTTGGTTTTGTGTTGCATTTCCTAGGTTTGCTGGCATGGGTAACCTGCTCAAAGTCCTTACCAGGGAAATTGAAAACTATCCACATTTCTTCCTGGATTTTGAAAGTAAGTTCCCAAAATTAAAGAACAGTGATGGAAGCTTTTCACTTTCTTTATAGCTTGTTTATAAGGAAGTTATAACATAAAGATTTTATATGATACCTAAATCCAGATGTTACTGATTTCTTTCTGAGATCTACCAAATACCATTTTTCTCTTTTCTCTATTTTTTTTTAAACCAATGGAAAATCTTTTTATGTGTCCGTGGTTTTCTTTGATTTGTAGGCTACTCATAAGCCATCAACATATATTTTTCCTAATCATTTTTATGAATCACTACCTCACATCTTAAAGAAAAATAAGTATAGAAGTTACACAGGTTAGTATAAAACAACACTAGATGTGAAAGAAAAAGTAGTCAAAACCAGAAATAGGTTTGGAGGTAATGTAATTTTTTGAGTCATCTCTGTCTATTATTTGATTATACAATATCATTTTGTGATTCTGAGATACACCTTTTTCATCTGAAGGGTTATATTTCTTTTATCAAAAATTTTAGTTTTTTTCCCTAAGAATAAAATGGCTTAAGAGTTATGACTAAGAAAACACCAAGATTGTTTCTTGTGCTTTTTATTTTATTAATTGAATGCATTTAAAAATGAATGACACAGTCAATTGTGATCAGCCTAAAGCTCATGTTTTCAACTTGACACTTGTGCAGCCCTTTTTGTAAAAACTTTAATTCCACAATAGCACTGACAGTTAAATCTTTTTGTTTTTTTCCCAGTATTCAGCATTTTTGGAAACAGTAATCTGCTTTAAACTTTAATTTTTTCAGAAGTATTTTATCTATATTATACAATAGTAATAATGGAATTTCCTTTACTAAACACTCTAGTAGAGAGATTTTATCAATATATACCAAGGTACACTAATCCAAAAGGTGAAAGCTCCCTGGAGATATCTTTCCAATGTTCTTTGGTTTACTTAAAACAGGTTCTTGAAAAGAAAATGTGGCCCCAAAGATCATGTATTCTGAAAAAAATATATTTAATCTGTATTATATTCCCTGAATGATATCTTACTTCTTACATAACTCGATTTTTTGTTTTTGTTTCTGGTGGTGGTATTGTTGCTGCTGCTATTGTTATTGTAGGGTTTGGTTTGGTTTAGTAAAGGGAGCTCAAGAGCCAGATTGATTTGACAATTCAAATGGGATGTGCTTTACTAGTGGTATAACTTTTGCTACACCTCTAAAATACATCTTATTGCTATTGTTATTGTTTTTAAAATTATGATCTGTTGATAACTTAAAAGAAGTTTTACAAAATAATCTATTATCCTACAACCCTGATTTTACTATTTACATTTTTAATCTCTTCATTCTACTTATTATTATTATGCATTTTGCATTGCTGTATTCCACATGCGCAAAGACCAAAACTGTGCTACAATACGCTATTCACTCACAGCTGGGGAATATGAACACCTAGAGAGGTTACATGCTTGTTCTTTTCCTGGAAGCCACATACAGCTGAAGATGCTCCCAGCTACCTACCAGAGTTCAGTAGTCCACATTTGCCTAGTTAAAAATCTTAGATTCGTGGTTTTCCAAGTTTCCACAGGGACTACTGTCAAGTTCTTTTCCACTTGTCATGTCTAATCTTAAAGATTTTAAAGTGATAAAAGTAAAAGCTTCAGAGATTTAGGAAGTAATTTTCAAAAGCTCTCTGCAGCACCAGTTTTCTGAGGCAATGGCTCAGGGAATCCCTTACCCTTAAAGCAGGTAGGAATGGGGAGAAAGGGGTCTCTGGTTGAAATCTGTTGCTTCCTTCTCTACAACCAGAAAACTTTGGTCTATTCATTCTTGTGCTTTGGACATTCTGTTACCATTTTAACTAAAGAAAGGTCACGGTAGCTAAAAAGAAAAATTAAAAAGAATGAATTTTGACAACAGTTTATGGTACTAATACTTGAAAATATATATTAATTTGTAGATATAATTTCTTTGTAAGGTGGGAACATGTACTGGATTCCTATGTCTGGTGGCTGATTACTAAGACTAGGGCTGCTATGGCATTTAAGGAAAATATGAAAATATAAATTTATAAAATCTTTTTTATTTTGTTATAAATCCCAATGAGCAGAGTAACTTTATTTCACAAATGGAGAAACTGAGACTTTGAAAAGATAAATAACTGTGCTGAGTCACACAAGGAACAATTAAAAAACCCAACCTACTGCTATCGAGCAGACCCATAGTGACCCAATATAACAAAGTAAAACCGCCCCATAGACTTTCCAAAGCTGTACATCTTTATAGAAACAGACTGCTTCATCTTTATCCTGCAGACCTGGTGGTTATCATCCAAATGCTTTAACCACTGTGCCACCAGAGCTCCACAGGGAACAAGTAGGGGAACTGAAATGGCAATACACATCTCTATGGCTTGCCTCCTCCTTCCTGCTTTGCTTCCCTTAAATACTTATCATAAGCAGCTTCCTAGAAGTGCTGCAGCCACCATTCTGTTCCTGAAGAACAAGGGATATCTTAATCATTTACAACCTAAAACATTTAAAACAAAAAGAAACTGATTTGATTTTCTTGGTCCCAGAAATTCTATTTCCTGAAGGTGATTTTTAGAAGAGAACAAATATGGTTTGGAAATGTAAGGAAGGTGGACTGTGTTCATAGTTTTTCCTTGTTTCTATAGATTTTGATTCAATTGCAGGAAGGTGCATTGAGCATGGTTATGAGAAAAGCTTGAGAAGCACATCATCAGGGATACAGAGCTGAACAGGAGTAACTGACTAATGAATCCATAGTCTAGTGTGGAGGACAATTTAAGCACATAGTTCAAGACCAAATAAAATAAGGGACATAAGACAGACAGACAGCATTGCATGTGAGTAAAGAGGGAGGGAGAGAACACATATAGTTTCTGGAATTGGAAAGCTATTAGGGAAGTCTTCTTCTAAGAGGTGGCATTTGGAATGGGCTTTAAATGATGAACAGAATTTCTCTAGGGACAGATGGAGAGAGGAATTTTTCAAAAGGTGGAAAATGGTGGTTCAAATCTATAGACTAGGATATGAAGGACATGTTTGAAGAACAGCAAGAGGTTTAATTTAGAGCATCAAATGCTATTGAAAATAAAGGAGGGCTGAACTGGAATGTTGGCTTGGGTTAGGCCATGACATCTACAGATGTCAGGCTGAGAAACTCAAAGCTGGATGTCCATAACTGAGAGTTCTCTCCAAAAAAAAAAAAAAAAATCACTGAAATCTTTGAGGGAAAACTAGAGAGTAGAACAGATAGAAACTTTAGAAGTGCTTATGCTTAATGGGAGCTTGAGGACAACATCCAAGAGTCATTGTAGAGGAAGGAGGGAAACAGTAACTTCAGATTCCTGAGGGCAAGGGCTAGGCCCCATTCAGTTTTGTGACCCAACACTTAGCTCCATGTTGATTGTTGAGCATTGAGCCTGGAGTGACCTTCAGTAACAGATGCTGACCCTATGAAGTAACAGTGGAACAGGGTAGCTCGAGACAACCAGGAGGGAACAGACTCAAGAATGAGGGAGTATAAAAAGATTTTAATAATGTAGAATGGTCAAGGAAGATGAGGCTTTAGAAGGGGGATGAAGATTAAACAGTGAGCTATCCAAGTACTGTTGACCACTGACAGAACAATTTCAGGATTTAATACTTTGAGTACAGAGTCTGGATTGCAAAGAGTTAAGGAGTGAGGGATATTGGGAGGAAAGGAGGCTAATAAACGTGTTCAAATGGCTTAAATGAATGTGGCATTTCTACTTTGTTGAGTATTCTTCTTGAAGTTTGTGATGGAATATAATTGAACTAGGTCAAATAGATTTAATTAAGCTGGATCAAAACATAATACAAAATTAGATACATCTGTTCTTAGGTTTTTCAGTTGCATAGATCTGATTTAAATTCTTGCTTGACCTTTGTAGAAAGCTCCACACTTCATACTCACATTTCTACACAATCACTAAGCATCTTTTTCACTGTTGCTTTTTCTTTTCATTGTTTTTTTTTTCTTTATACCTCCTCCTCATGTCTCCATTTTCACTTGGAAGGGTGGGAGACTGGGAAGGAATAAATGATTAATGCAATGACCTAATCTTTCAGAATCAATGATTTTAGGGATTTAAAAAAAAAATCCAAACTCACTGCCATCGAGTCAATTCCGACTCACAGCGATCCCCATTGGAATTCTTAGGTGATAAATCATTATGAAACTAGATCGCCTAATCTTTCTTACACAGAGTGGCTGGTGGGTTTGAACTGCCAACCTTCTGGTTAGCAGTCAGATGCCTTAGGCACTACGCCACCAGAGCTCTGGTTTGAGGAATAGTGAATGGAAAAAAGTTGGATTGAAGCTTTGCTGATCCTCACAATTGGGCACCCAAAGTAAGCAGCAGGTATTCCCTTGCCAGTGAAGTAGTTTTGGAGATTTCTGGAACGAAGTGATTATTACAAACATTTGGCAGTTGTTCTTTTGACATAACTTTTGGGCATCACCCAAAAATTCAAATCCAATGACATACTCCCAAGAATCTGCTTATGCCCAAAAGATGATCAGCCTGATTAGGGACCCAAATTTAACTAATTCTTCCAAGTAAGGCAACAGCCCACTCTAGTGTTTGGGGCAGGGAAACTAAACCAGGCATCATTTTAGATTTCTAAGATCCAGAGATGGAATCCTCAGAACTGGTCACAGAGGGCCTCTTTTAGCTCTTGTTTCACCATTTGCCTAGCCAGACAAGTAGTGTCGATCGATCAGTAAATCAGAGCTACTGTGCTGTAGCAACCCACTTCCTCAAGCCTTCATTGTGTCTACTTTAGAAGGGAAAGTCTCTCAGGCAGAAATTAAAATAAGTTAAAATCTATGCAGATCCTTCCAAAAAGCTCTGTTTTTTCAATCAGCAAACTACATAACTATCAAACAATTCCTTGGGGATTTGAACAGACATTTCTCCAAAGAAGATAGGCAAATGACCAATAAATATACTAAGAAATGGTCAACATGATTAGCCATC